TCCACATGACCCAACATGCTTCCCTTCTTCCCATTGTATAGTGGTATATACTTGTCAACTGCACCCTTTTAAAATGTATTTTAATATCATAGATAGATGGCTTATATTACTTTATCTATTATTAGATGACCAGGGATAGTATTTTAATCTATAATTCTATATCTACCACTTAGTCCTATGATTGACACATAACAGAAGAGGGGTTCCCAAGATTGTTTGACCTAATGCACCCTACCCCACCCCAACACACACACACACACAGACACACACACACACACACACACACACACTTCCAGGAGTCACTCAGAAGCCCCTGAAATCTTTTATAAGTGAACACAGTGCTTCCCAATTGCATCTGGGAGCACTCACCACCCACCCTCCTCATCTCCATTGGGTTCCCTACTCCCCAGGGTTTGGTATCACCCACTTTGGAAAACACTAATAGGTACCCTATAATTATTTCTCTGAGAAGACTTAAGATAGGAATTGACACTATGACCCTTTCTAAGAGAAACCTAGGATTTTCATGAGTACTGTTATTTTAGAATTCAGAGTAAGTTCACAAGAAAAATGGAAAGGTTGGTTATTTTCTATTTACATTCTCAACAATTAACTGATTACATTCCAGTTTCTTTTTCTATTCAGTCTTTTAAAAGCGTTATTAAAGTGCCATGATTTATAAAGTATTCATAGTTGAGTTTTCAGTATACAATGTTTCAGCACCAATAACATCACAATGTCAGCTTCCTTTCACCAATGTTCCCAGGTTCCCTCCAACTCCTTCCCTCAGCCTGCCTGCTTAACAGGCATTTTTTTTTAAAGTTCAATTGTTTAAATTTGGATCTCATGATCTCAGTGTCATTGACTCTGTGATTTGTATATTTATAGCTATCATTCCTTAACGCCACCAGTGTACCTGAATCCCTTCCATCCTTGCTCCTCATTGCTTCTCATCACTCTCTTCTCCACTCTACTTTATTTCTTTCCTTCTCCTCCCTATACTCTGGGACCAAAGGTTATCTAGGAAACCTCCCTTTAAATCATTGCAATTCCTCATCCAGTTATCCTAAATACCACAAGTGAGTGATATTATCCTGTGTTTATCTTTCTTTTCCTAGCTTACTTCATTTAACATGGCATCTCCATCCATGTTGCAGTGAACACATGATTTCATCATTCCTTATACCTGTGTAGATACCACATCTTCATAGTCCACTTATCTGCCATTGGACATCTAGGTTAATTCCAAATCTCAGCCGAATGCTGCAATGTCTTTTACTACTAGCATGTCCTCCAAAATAGAATGCCTAGTTACTTAATTTTATACAAACATCAAACCAAACCATGTGCAATCACTGTTTTGCAGGTCAAGTTAAAGTCAAAACTCCAAAGCAGTAACTTGGACATAGTACCAGTAATTTCTGTAGTTCAAAGTACAAAAGTATTAGTTACTAAGTCTTTTCCCCTTGTCTATGTTTACTGTGTTCTATACAATTCACATAGTTTGGGCTTCTTATTATTAGTTAACTCTAGTCACCGGTTACAGACCATCACATTTTATTAAAATAAATATAGGGTCTTAAGGTAAGGACACTCCAGCATGCTTAAGATATGGTGTAAACTGAAAAAGGCAACTGTCAGGAAAGCCTTAGAAGGCACTTTCACATTCTTCAGAAAAGTAAATTTTGATTACTACCTCCCTGTTCACTTCCAACTTTCAATCATATGACTATGATAATTAATTTAATGAATATCATTAAAATCTTAATTTATACCTTTGTCCCTATTCCACAATTGGATTTTCGAGCAGTTGATTACGTTTTTCTCTGTGGATTCAGGGAACCACTAGTCCATCAATATCTAATATATCAAACATATCTTTGGCCCTTATAATTTTTCCATTAATCATCCGGAAACACATTTAGTTCAGATGAATAAGATGTTTGATGTTAATGAAAATCATTTCCTAGAGGAAGAAAAGCACTAGGTTTGCAAATTTGGTTCAGAAACTAAGGGCAGAATTTCAAGAACCTGAAACTCTGAATCTTTGGTCCTATTCTTGATAAAAGTAGATCTCTCTCAAAGGAGTTTTATCTGCTATTAATATGAATATTGGTGTTAATAGAAATATTAGCTTTAAGATGAATTTTGGTGTGAAGGTGAAAATTGTTAATGTTTTTCATATGCTGATCTCTTAATTTCACCTAACTTTCAAACTTAAAAGAATCTTTGAAACTAAATGGCTGAAAATATCTTTTAAAAATAAGAAACACATTTAGATTCTGGTACACAGCAAAATCCCTGTGAAGAAATGTTCCAAATTTGTGATTCTATTTGCATTTCCATAAACACAGAGAATCTTTGTCTGTGCTTATTATGGGATAAATAACAGTGTTAGAAATAGGGTGTTTTAAGACTCCAATTATGCATATGCTCCCATTCTTGTTACTGCACTTACAACATGAAGTAATATCAAACTTGTGCTTTAGTTCAGGAGCTTTCTTTCACCTAAAAATTGATGATTTTTAACCAGCTTTGACTTCATTTAATAGAACTTTAAAAATTTTTTTCCAAGAGCTTCTAAGATGCCACTGTTTCCAAGAAAGCAGATTCTGGGATAGAGATAAGTACTCAGATCTAAGTACTTAGTATCTGAGATAAGTACTTAGATGGTGCCCTGGGGAAAGGAGAACAGGAAGCAGTATGAGGAGAAGAGAGAAACTCAGCATCAAAGCAGACCTTGCTTTTGTCTTAGCCAGAATCTCCATGAGCTCTGTGGGTGACAGGGTTCTTTAGGGTTGTTCTGAGTTGCACTAAGGGAGCAGCCCATTAATTCCAAAATCAGAAAAACAAATTTAACCTTGGGTTCTTATACTCACAAAAAAGTTTCATATCTCAGGATCAAAGAAGTAGTTCAAATTGCTGGCTGTATTCTCTGCATGCAGGTGGTCCAGGTTTGATCCCCAGTACTGCATGGTCCCCAGGGCCTCCTAAGAGCAACTAACAAGCAGGGGGTCAGGAGTAGCCATCAAGCACCACCAGATGCCACCTTTCCTTCCTAAATACATAAATAAGTAAAGAGTTCCGCGTCCCACATCTGTCCCAGAAGGAGTTGTAAGTTTCAGAACTCTAAAGTTCCCGTCCACTAATAAGTTAGGGCCAACTAGTAAGGATGGATGGCCTTCCATCCTAAACAAGAAATGGCAGCCCACCCCTGGGTTTACCACTCAGTCTGGTCATTTTTCCTTTTTCTAACTTTGTCAATCTAAGTTCAAATTACTTGCAGTATAATACAATGAACGCATGTCTTGGTTGCACTAACCACATTTCAGATGCTCCAAAGCCCTACATTGGGCAAACTATTTCCATTTTTTTTTTTTTTTGCAGAAAATTGTTCTTGACGCAGCTATCATGCAACCAAGGATACCAGAGGCCTGTTTTTCTCCTGACACGCTGCAGGAGGGGAGGGCCTGCTCTCAGCATCCTAAAGTCTCTGAGTTCTCTCTGCTTCTGACCACCTGAAGGAGTCTTTTTTTTGATCTCCTCGATTCTTGTTTTTCTTTATATTGATATTAGCATGGCTTCAGTTGCAACAGAATTTTTTTTCTATTGCCATAATGATAGGTCAGAGAGTTGGAAAAATATTTGTATTCAGCACACTACTTCATTTAAATAAAGAGAATAAAACCAATTATATTTTCTTATTAAAGTAGCATAAATAGCCATACCCTGCCAGATTACTGTCTGAAAGCTTAACACTGCTGGCCTGCAAGAAATTAATTAAAGACAATAAACTTATGGCATTAAATATATCTTAAAACAGCAGAATAAGTTCTTTGGTATGAATAACCACTTGAGTATTATTAACTCTCCCCACACAAATCATGTCTGCTGGGGTTCATGCTATGGCGTGTGGGGTGGGGGCTACTTTCTGCTAAATCACTTTTCTTTCTGATTCCATAAACATTGCACTGGTGACATAGTTGTGGTTCTTGCACCATTGCACAGATTTCTGTTCTTCTACAAGTTGTTTTTTGTAGATTATATCTCTTTGAAAGTGTTTCTGCACAAAAGCATCCAAACTTGAAATGTATTGTCTTTAGAGCACATGTCCTATTCTTCAGTACTCATTTTTTTCTCTTTCTGAAGTATTAGCAAAAGTCTGGTCATTACAATCATTTGTGTCATTTAAAGGTATTCTTTTCCTATTCAGGTATTCAGTCTATATGCAGAAATGGTACAGTTTATGTATATTTTTTCCTTTGTGCAATGCACATATGCTCTCTCTTTAAATCTGTGTAAAAGAAAGTGAAGCTTATGTTCTTGTCCTTCTATGTAACAGAGCCGAACTAAGTAACGCATACATAGACAGATTTAATTTTTACAAACTCATAGAAAATATACAAACTAAGACAACTGGTTTTTATTCCACCACATTAAGAGGATTGCCATCCATGAGTGGTTATCTAGAACAGTCATTTCCTCAAGTTTCATGGTCCAATTTCTCAGACTAGGATTCATTGACTTCATTCATTATCCACTAATGTTTGCTATAGAGAATAGACTTGCTGGGGTCTCAAACAATAGAGCACAGCCAAATATCAACAAATGAGATGCAAATTATCTCAATTATTAATTAGATTAACTAACAGGCCAGCAGAGAACTCTAGTAATGATTGGCTCCGAGGATCTGATTTAGGAGTCTAACTGAAAGGTCCTCAAACTACAGTGTCCTTGCCTGCAGCAGAGTATGGCATGCTGCTGGCTTTCAGAGAAGCTTTATTAAATTAACTAATTCATCCTATCTCCCTGCTTGTTCTTTGAAAATTGAAGTATAGTTTGGAACTTGAAAAGACTATTGCAAACATCAATGATGTTACATAACCTTCTCATAACATACATTTGGATTTCAGACTCTTTTATAAAACATTTTAACATTTAGTATTTATATATGTACAAACATAGTTATGCATTTAAGGTGTGCTGCATTTTTATTTTAGGTTGGAGAAGTAATTTCAAGAGGTCAACAAGCATCCAAATCTGTGAAAAGTAACTTGGACAGCAGCAGAGAACAAACAAACACAAGGTATGACTTCCCAATCTGTCTTCAGTACCTGGTATGGTCCTCTTATGATAAGAATCCTTTATTTCAAGGATACCACACAACACCAGAGTTCCTGCTTCCCTCCACCACTGTCCCAAAGACCCTTCCCCCAACAAGGTACAATTGTTTATAAACATGAATGCTAACGTTTATTCTCCAAACTCATATTCTTGATTTGCAGAGATTTTGATCTCTCGAAAAGCAAACTCATGTATACACAAAGCTATAGTAAGTGGCAGTAAGAGTGGGAATTGCAGTAGCAATGCCTGATAACACACTGAGCATGTGCTTCATTTCAGACACAATTCTCTCTGCTTGATCATAATAACAGATTCAATCCTCAGACTTTTCCTCCTTGGCTTTCAGGTATAGAAAATAAGGAGCACAAATTGAGAATATCTATGAGTCATGCTATGTTGGAACAGCTCTGCTAATTCCTGCTCACTATACTGCTGACATTGACTTGTTTTTATGACCCACATGTTCCCTCCTATATCCTAAAACTCGCAGGACTGCAAGAACCAAAAAATCCCATTGTGTGACCACCTGTCAATATCCTAATCATTAGTAATTCCAGCTTTGCTTAAGCTTCTTTCCCAGCTGGTCTCTCTATCTCATTCTCTCACTCTCTCTCTCCTACTCTGTTTCTCTCCCTCTTTCTTTCTCTCCTCCCCACCCACTTCTCCTTTTCACTCATTCTCAATATTTCAGTGTTAGAATGTATTTCTTTGACCCTAGCTCAAGGTTCTTGTTTTGCCCACCCCACCCCAAGACCCTCTAAACAGAGTCTATCTTCCGTACACAGTGACATCCTTTATTTTGGATAAGGCTCTCATTATTTTTCAGTGCTTCCAAAGAATGAACATCCCAGTTATTTCCTTCTACTTATGATTCCTAGGCTCTTACCATCCAGATGGCAAAGTCTATTTTGAATCCAGGCAAACTATCTTTGTATACAAATATATATGCTAGAATTATCACCATAAAAATACCTGAACAGTGTTATATTTATGCCTTGCATAATCCTAGCAGTCAGGCATTCATATATTCAAAACTAATTGTCAACATTTTGTAGGGCTTTTCAAACATGGTGATAAAACAGGGTTTTTCAAATATTTGTTTGGGCAACAGGTATGGAATTGAATTCCTTCTGAAAAGTGGGCTGCTATTTTCTTTCTTTGAAATCCACTCATATTTCATATCTTGGCAATTTTCATTTCTGATATATGTGTAATTTATAGAGATTCAATAGTAGCATGACTTATATGAATACTCATAATAGTCCCCTAGCGGTATCAACATGTGTAAAAAGTCTGAATCTCATTTGTGAGGAATCACAGAATGGGAAGCTCAGTCACTGTTTCAGACCCAGAAAGCCATCATTACTGTAATTACATGTGAGAAATACAGATATCTTAGCACAGGTTTTCATAGTAGTATCTCCTGCCATACTTTAAAAAGCTTTTCTTTTTCATTCTTATTACTGAGCAGTAGTCATCTCACAGAAGTACAATATTTGTCTTTGTGAGGTTTTTGTGGGGTTTGTGGGATTCTTAAATCATGGGTAAACTTCATTATCCTCATTATCTCAGTCTCTGACTGGGCAGTCTTATTAATCAAACTGCTACCATAAAGACGTACATGGAATAAGTTCAGACAACTAGTAGCTTTGGTTTACAGATGTAGCAGTATGCTGTGAGGGTTGGAACCTATCACATCCAGAATGGTTCTGTTCACATTAGCAGAAATACGGAATGGGAAAAGAAGAACTAATGAATCTATTTTTTTAATGCATTGTGATGAAATTGAGTCATGTTTGGGGGATGGTAATGGATTCAGTGAACACTTGTGCGTCTATGATACTATGTGATAAAGATCAAGTTTTCTCAAAAGTGGATTTATTAAGTATTTAATCTCACTCTGCTACATGTTTTCTGTCCTTAATCTTCAAAATAATTGCAAGATAGATCTTTTTATTTCTAATGCACTGAGATTTAAAGAGATTAAATAATTTGTCCAAAATCACAAAGTTGGTCAGTGAGTTGGGGAATCAGGATTATTTGGTTCACAAATTAGTGGTTGCCAGGAAGGAATGGGGAAGCAAGGTAGATAAATTGGGTAAGTGAGGCCAACTGTAGCTGAAAGGTAAAATGTGCGCTTTAGTAGTGAATTTAATGTACTGAAGATGTTGGCTTAGAAATAAAGATGTTGACTTGTGCAATAGAAACTTATGCAATGTAGCATTACTTAAATAAAAGTTTGAAGAATAAAAACCCTAAACTCCAAAATGGAGGTAGCACTGTAGCACTGTAGCATTGTCCTCCTGTTGTTCATTGATTTGCTCAAGTGGGCACCAGTAACATCTCACAACAAATTGTGAGACCTGTTGTTTCCATTTTTGGCATATCGAATACCTCATGCCAGGCTTTGCCATGCGGGCGAGATACTCTTGGTAGCTTGCCGGGCTCTCCTAGAGAGGCAGAGGAATCAAACCCGGGTTGGCCATATGCAAGAACTCCCTACCTGATGTGCTATTGCTCCTAATGCGTATGTTTGGCATTGTGAGGCTAAAGTTCAATCCCTGACACTGCATGCTCCCACTAACACTGTGCTGTATAGTTGTGGTAACCCGGGGGCACTAAGTACCACTGGTGATTCACAGCCCCAGGCCCCAAACACTAGTTCACAGTAGCATGCTGAGTGTTTCTGTGAGTATCACTTGCTCTTACCCCCATAACCACTGAAAGTGACCACTGTTTTTAAAACACATGCTCAGCCTTCCTACATCTCCTCCAAAAATTAGCAATTTGCCTTCTTCCCTACTATTTTTTAATGATTATTTTTAGGGACTATACTAAGCAGTGTTTAAGGACCATATGGGCAACACCCAACAATGGTGGGGATTGGTGGCGATCAGGTTTGTTGTGCTGTGAATCAGACCTTGAACCTATAGACTTGCACATGAAAATACCGGATCTACCACTTAGGCTACATCCCTGACACAGGTGTCTTATTTTCCCCCTAAACTTGATTCTTCAAACCAGTTTGAGATACACAGAGATTTTACTTATAACCTCTTACCTCACTCATTCATATTCATCTATCATCAGTTCTTCCTAAGAGTGGTGTATTTGCCACAGTTGAGGAACCTATATTGACTTATGTCAGTAGCCCATGACATCCATAGTTTTTTTTCATAATTTTATTTTTTTCTTCTTATATTTATTTATTGAATCACTGTGGGAAAAGTTACTAAGTTTTCAGGTTTAAATCTCGGTCATACAATGATCAAACACCTCTCCCTTCACCAGTACTCATTTTTCACCACCAAGAACCCCAATATATTCCCCCTGCCACCCCTCCCAATGCCTGTGAGGCAGATGATTTCCATGTAACTCTTCTCTACATTGATTACATTCATTATTTTGACAAAAGATGCACCATTATTGTTTAGAATTTCCCACCCAACAATCAGAATTGCTGAAAAGGCATTGTGAAATACTGTTTTCTATAGCTGGTTATGAGAATCATATAATGATTTTGGATTTCTGCAAAGAGCCAGATAATTACGAGATTGGTTTCTGTGCATCTGGTGTTATGACTGTGCCGGAGAGCCACTCGTGGGGGGCAACTCGTGACCTCGGTAGGGCGTGAAGAATGAGCCAGTACCGTCCCCCTTCCCATGAGACTGCAGTTGCCCCGTCACCACCGACTCATACCTGACTTTCCTATAAGCTCTGAGGCAGCAGCCATCTTGCTGCTGGGGGGAAAAAGGCAGAAAGGAGAAACACCCTTTCCCTCCTGGGGAGGCATGGTGCCGTAGTTTAACGCATGGTCCATTCACTTTTCTGCCACAAGCTGCCAGGCTCTGGACTAAGTCCTTTTGCTTCTGGAGCCATGGCCTTGCCTGAGAGCCGCTTGTGGGGAGCAACTCGTGACCTCAGTAGGGAGTGAAGAATGAGCTGGTACTTACCCCCTTCTCATGAGACTGCAGTTACCCCATCACCACCGGCTCATACCTGGCATTCCAATAAGCTCTGAGGCAGCGGCTACCTTGCTGCGGGGGGCGGGGGGGGGATGCGAAGGGAGCAACACCCATTCCCTCCCTGGGAGGCATGGCGCCGTAGTTTAGCACATGGTCCATTCACTTTTCTGCCACAAACTGCTGGGCTCTGGATTAAATCCTTTTGCCTCTGGGCCATGGCCGTGCCAGAGAGCCGCTTGTGGGGGGCAACTCATGACCTCAGTAGGGCGTGAAGGACGCCATGACATCCATAGTTGACAGTAAGTTTCACTCTTGGTGTTGCACATTTTATGGGTTTAGAAAATCTGTAATGAGATGTATCAACCATTATCATATGGTAATGAGACAGATTAACCTTATTGCCCCCCGACTTCTCTTTGTTCCCCTGGTTCATACCGCTCTCTCCCAAAGCTCTGGGCAACTTCACTTTTTTCACTGTCACCATAGTTTAGTATTTTCCAAATGTCATGTCATTGAAGTGCACAGTATGTAGCCTTTCCAGGTTGGCTTTTTATTTTATTTTTTTCACATATCTATATGAGTTCTAGTTCTTCTGGGCCTTTTCTTAGTTTGATAGTGCATTTCTTTTTAGCATGGAACAGTATTCCATTGTCCAAATATGCCTCATTCATTTATCCATTCACATACTAAGGGACACTCTCTCCCCTCCCCATTTTTTAGGAGATATTAATAAAGCTGCTATAAACTATACGCAGGTTTCTGTGCGAACATAAATTATTAAAGACCTTTGGGTCCAAGGGCTGTGATTATTACCAAGAGTATCCCGCCCGCACAGCAGAGCCTGGTAAGCAACCCATGGTGTATTTGATAATGCCAAAAAACAGTAATAACAAGTCTCACAATGGAGAAGTTACTGGTGCCCATTCGAGCAAATTGATGAACAACAGGATGACAGTGCTACAGTGCTATGGTTAGAAAGCATCGTGTTTTTCTGAGAAAGGACTTAGCTATGTTTCTAAGTGTTTGTGCCAGTTTGCATTTTCACTAATGAAGAAAGAGTTCATATTAGACCACATCCTTGGCAGCATTTGGATTTGTCAATACTCTGAAGTTTGGTTTTTCTAAGAAATATTTAGTGGTATCTGATTTTTATTTTAGCTTTGATTTCCCCAATGACATAGCCTATGGAGCAATGCTTCATGTACTTATAAGTCAGATGCATATTTTCCCTGCTGAAGGGCCTGTGAAAAATCACTGCATCTTTCAGTCCCCTTGTTAATTTCCTTATTGTTAAGTTCTTTTTATTGTTGAGTTTTGAGTTCTTTATATATTTTTGAAACCAATCTTTATCATGTTTTTCCAATATTTTCTCCTAAATCTCTGACTTATTTGTAGTTCTTCCAAAATGGACCTTCACAGAGTAGAAGTTTTAAATTTTAAAACTATCTTAAAATTAAAATCTATCTTATTATTTTATGAATTATCATTTCACTGTTAAGTATGAAAAGTCGTCTCTGTAGCTAAATTCATCTAGTTTTTCTCCTGTTTTGTCATACCAGAAATTTGTAATTTTATTTTTAGGCCGCTTACATATTAAGAGTTTATTCTTTGAAGTTTGTAAGCTCTGTGTCCAGATTCAGTTAATTCTTTTTGCATGTGGATGTATATTTTTATCAATACATTTGTTGGAAAGACAATATTTGGAATAGTTGGAAATACAATTATTGTATTGCTTGTGCCTCTTTATTGGTGATCAGTTGTCTATATTAATGGGAATAAATTTCGTCTTTTTTTCTGTTTGACTTAGTTTTATTTATTTATTTACTGAATCACCATGAGATACAGTTACAAAGTTTTCATGATTGAGTTTCAGCCATACAGTGTTCAAACACCCATCCCTCCACCAGTGTACATTTTCTACCACCAATGTACCCAGTATCCCTCCCACCCACCCTCACTTCAGCCCTCCCACTGCCTCTATGGCAGACAATTTCCTTCTTACTCAACTTAGTTTTAACTTGCAGTTTTGATCAAAACACTGAATACACAAATGAAGGTGACAAAAACTGATGTCTTAGCAGTTTGAGTCTGCCTAGTCATAGACGTGATCTATTTCTCTAATTCTTATTTGCCATCCTTCATTAGAGTTCTGTAGTTTTCTTAAAAGAATCTTCTACACGTTTAGTTAGATTTATTTCTATGTTATTTCATTTTGTGGGGATGCTATTGTAGATGGTATCATGTTTTCAATTTGAAGCTACATTTTTCATTGTTGGCATATATTTATGTAATTGACTGGTATATGTCAATGTGTATCTTATAATCGTGCTAGAATTGCTTATTAGTTTGTGAAGTCATTTTTATTCAATTCTATTAATATTTTCTGCAAAGAATTTGTGTCATCTGAAAAGTTTTCTTGACTCAAATTCCTCTTAAAGAAATTTTTTTCGTCCTTTTTATTTTAGAAACAACTTGTCACACACACTACATGTCACAAACGCCACATGTCACATATGCCACATGTGCATATACAAACACACATGAATTTTATTTTGAAATATATAGAATATATAGATTAATTTATAGAGAACTATCCTTATAACATTGACATCCATTAAGTTTTATTTGATGGTTTTTAATAAAAACTTGCAATTTTTTCCATAGGTTGTTTTTGAATTTGTAGACGTGTTATGGTTAAGTTATTCTAAGTTAATATTCTCTTTCAGTTGTTACTGGTATATAAAATTTTAATTAATGTTTTAAATCTTTGTAAAATGCACATAATAATTACAATATAACTATTTTAAAGTGTAAAATTCAGTATCATGTGTTTTATTTGTAATTCTGTGAAACCACTACCCCTTTGTATTGACTTTTGAACCCAGTTATTTCTTGTAATTTTGTTCATTTATATGCTGGTTATTTTTTATTTTATATATATGCGAAGAATTATGTCATTCTTTCTCTTCAACCCCATGCCTTTTTTGTTCATATCTTACTGGATAGGAAAAAAATCTTATACAGGGTGCAGAGAGGGGGGAATAGTAGATATTTTTGTCTTGCGAACAACTTCAGAAGGGAAATGTGAAGTATATTGCTATAAATTATGAAACATATATTTAAATATAGCATATTTAGTGGTTTTACAATTCACGAAATTTTATTCCAGTGTCTGAAGTTTTTAGATTTCCATTTCTCATTAAATTAGGTGAGGTTCCGGTGGTGGGGCCAACTACTTTTCTTCAAAGTCAAGGACAACAGAATTGTAACCAATGATCTTATTCACTAAAATTACAGATACACCATAGTCTATTAAAGATTCTTATAAAGAATTCTAGTTTAAAAATATAGCTATAATAGGTGACTTTTTATTAGTCCTTTTGAATGCAATCATTCCCTGTAGAATCTATTGTGTACAATCTGGGTCTTTAGAATCAACTATTGTATAGTTTTTGTATACTTGATGTTTTTCTTCAGCAGGTCCATGCTTAATCATTATAATGCTAAGTCTCAAGAATAAAACACTCAAATGGTTTCAAATTCTGTGAAGACAACAGAAATGAAAAAACTTGGTGACAAGTGCATAGTTTTACTCTTTTTGAAGAAAATCATCAAAATTCCCTCTTTCAACAAATAGTGTCTGATATATAAGTTATTCTGAGGACATCAGTTTGGAGTTCCTAGATTGGGTTAACTATGATTTTCTTTAGGAAAGAGATAATATTTTATTTCACTGTCCAAAAATAGTATACTAATTTCTTTTACATTTATTTAGCAGGCATTTAGTCAGTAAAGCTGTATGCCAAGGATACAGGTAAAAAGTACAAAAATCTTTGCTCCAGAGTTGTCAATCTAGTAGGAAAACAGAATTGTAATGAAACAATTACGTGACAATGTGATAAAATTTATATTTGAGCACTACACTGTGTTATTGAATGTTACCAGGAAAATTGTCTGTTTGCATAGGCAAGGTATTGCTGGGCTAAAGAGCAACTGGTGAATAGATAGATAGATAGATAGATAGATAGATAGATAGATAGATAGATATTCAAACATATATATATGTTAAGCAATTAAATTGTGCCACGATTTCAAAATAATTTTATCAAAATAATTAGGTAGGTGAACTTTATCTAAACCTCAGTGTACAAATTACTGGGCCCAAATCCAAGCATGTAAATTGGAAATTGCCTGAAAAGCAGCCCAGGTGCCTATATTATCCAGAATTTTCTATATATCTATGATAAGGGAAATTATTGGCAGTGGAAGTTTCTTTTTTTTTTTTTAACTCTAGCATTGCAGAAAGAACTTGGTTCAGGTTGCAGAAACTGGGTTTTGTGGGAAGAGGAATTAATGGCTAAACTTTGTGATGGCTCAGATTTTGTAGCATACAATGCACCCAGCCAAACCACAAGGCTGCATTGTCTGAAGCAGCAGAGTCCAGGGAACTGGCTACATTCAGAAGTAACAACTATTTAGAGTGGTCCTATCATTGATCCTCGCTGTGGGCTTGGCCTCAGGTATCTTTTCAGTTAGCTAAACCAATATATTCTTGGGCTGCAGAGATAGCACAGCGGGTAGGGCGTTTGTCTTGCACTCGGCCAACCCAGGTTCTATTCCCAGCATCTCATATGGTCCCCCAAGCACTGCCAGGAGTAATTTCTGAGTGCAGAGCCAGGAATAACCCCTGAGCATTGCTGGGTGTGACCCAAAAAGCAAAATAAATTAAATAAATAAATAAATTCTTAATTTAGCAGAATCTCCCTGATCACCTCTTCAACTGTCTCTATGGCCTGGGCCTCTTGGAGCATTGTAACACCTTATTTCTACCAGGGTCTTAGTCCTCCTTCATGAGACTCTAATCTGACTGATAGATCAGACCATCTCTTTTTTTTTCCCCCTTTATTTTATTTTATTTTTTTTTTTACAGTTGTAGATTTACAATTTTTTGTGCTTTGGTTTCAATTATACAATGATCAGATACCCATCCCTCCACCAGTGCCCATTTTCCACCACCATGGATAATATCCCTCCCACCCCCATCCCCCCATCCCCCCTGTCTCTGTGGCAGGGCAATCCCCTGTGTTCTCTCTCTCCTTTTGGGTGTTGTGGTCTGCAAAAGAGGCATTGAGTGGCAAACATGTTCAGTCCATAGTCTACTTTCGACATGCATCTCCCCTCCTGGGAGGATCCTCCAAACATCCTTTATTTGGTGCTCCCTTCTCTATCTGAACTGCCCTTTCCTCTAGGATACCCGGCTGGCCTCTAAGTTATGGAGTAATCCTCCTGGTGCTGATCTCAAGACCATCTCTTAATGTATCACTGTTTTCAGAGATAGCACCAGCCAATGTTTACTGAATAAGTAAATGACAAACTATTTGAAATTTAATTTTATCTTTTTTCCCCATTGTAGACACAGAAAAATCGAAAAACTAGAAGTAGATCCTAGCAAGCATTCCTTCCCTGATGTGACTCACATCGTTCAAGAGAAGAAATGTACAGCCAGAAGAGTTCCCAAAATTACACCAAATGAGGAAGACCCAAGCTTTGAAGATAACCCTGAAGTACCTCCTTTGATCTGAAACATCAGGTGGTCTACATACAACCACCCAGACCCAGTTTTTCTCAAAGAAAGAATGTGTATCTAGTACTTACAGGATAAACAGAGTTCTTTATCAGATTTATCTCTCCTCTTTCTTAGCTCTGACTTTATACTCTAAAGCAAGCTTAAAATTAAAATGTGTACTTCAAATATACCAAGACTTCTCACATTGTGTACAATAAAATGTTGTCTGGTGACATAGTTCAGTAGATCATAGTTTTATTGTAGAGCCTATGAATAAAAACTGCCTGTATGTGCAGATAGATGAAGTCATAGATGAAGTCATTGAAAGACTGATTACTAAATTGGTAGCTCAGCTAATGGGTCAGGAACAAACGTTAACAGTATAATTTCAGAGCAAATTAGAATGCTTTCAAATTATTATAATCAGTATTCTGCTCGTGATATCTCTGCTTTCTCTGGTGGCAAGGATGGCATAAGGGCAAGAAGGTAAGGTTTGAAATGGGATGCCTTGCATTTGAATTTGAGCTCCTTTTCATTCCTGAATCTGTGTGGCTCAACCTTGAATGGGAATAGTACCCCTTAACCCTAAATTCGCCCCAAGGTGAGCCACAGTGGATGTCTAGCTCCATGTCTGCGTGTTCACTACTCTCCTGCTCTTTTGTGCCTTCTTATTCTAGTAAATTTCCTCCCTTCTCTTTTATTTCTGTCTATCTTATATTATACTCCCTCCTTTACTTTTTTAAAGTTACATTCTTTATACAGAACAATTTAAATTAAATAATTCACAAATACTACCAGAAAAGAATGTTATTCTGATCATGATATTCTCACATTTCAGTCAGACTTGTCCAGCCACACATGCAGTAAATATGTATGGGCCACCATGATTCCTAGGGACTGGTATGCTCATCAGGGAGTCAGTGGTAACAAGGCAATAAATGTCCAAGCATGTACCACATCAAGGTATGATAGAGCTCTGAGAGAAAGAGCGAGGAGGGGACATGTGGGATGAAGTGTTTTTTTTTTTAAGACAGTTCTTACAGAAAGTCCTTCCTAATAAACGAAAATCTTAACAGAGAACCAAAGTGGATCAAACCCCCACACAGTTCAGGGAATAAGATTGATGGCCAAGGTTCATGTTTACAAAAATTTGGGTGGAACTTTGAAGTGAGGTTCTGAAAGGATTGGTGGAGAAAGGGAGAAAGAAGAGGCAGTTGGATTACTCAGAACCTGGCCAGAATCTGGGGAGCAAGGTACTAATGAGTTTTGAGGTAGACCACAACCGAGGAGCTTGCAGAGGTGTATAGAAATGATTCTGGGGACCGGAGCAATAGCACAGCGGGTAGGTGTTTGCCTTGCACACAGCTGACGCAGACTCGATCCCTGGCATCCCATTTGGCCCCCCAGCACCACCAGCTGTGATTCCTGAGTGAAGAGACAGGAGTAACCCCTGAGCATCGCTGGACATGCCACACACACACACACACACACACAACGCCAATTTTTTTTTTAAAGAAATGATTCTGTCTGCTGGTATGGTTGCTACTGTATATATAGCTTCTGCCCCTCAGTTCCACAGCCAAGCTCCTGGTTGGTGGATTGAGAAGTCAGCTTTGGTCAGTCAGTGGCAATCACGAAGAAAGATGAGATAGGAAAAGCATAAAGGAGGGGAGAGCAAAGGCAAATTTGGGTCTACTGATCCTCTCTGCACATGTCTATCACTGTTCCTGAGTCCACTGTAAGAAGGAAAGAATTCTGCTGGCATTGTGCTTCTCCAATCTCATTCAGCTTGTTCTTTGGTCAACTATATTGAGAAATCATATAAGGAAGACAATTCTAGAAAGCAAAGTTCCCAGAAATAGCCAACTTGATGTTCCATAATCTGAAAGAGTCTAAAACTCATGAACTAAGCAGTCATACATTTTTAGAACTATATTTTTACTTCCACCACAAGGTAAAGCAAAGTTATGATTCTGACTAACAATGCATTATCTTTTAAGCACCCCAAACCATGCTATTATAGGCTTACGTATTGGTGGTTCACCCAACCCCAACCCTCCTATTTTCTACATTAAAGCCCTATGCATCAATGTTTAGTGGGTTTGAATGTACTTTTGGGAAATGATTCATTGTAGATGAGGTCATGAGGATGGGTGGAGCCTCAATGGGGTGGGTGGGTTGTCAGTCAGATCCCAAACAAGAAAGAGAGATCACGTGAGGGATCGAATCAGCCATCATCACCCTGTTCTCAGATTTCCAGCATCCAGAACTGTAAGAAATATATTCCTGTTGTTCACTTCTTCAGTCTTTGGTGTTTTATTGATACCCCAAGTTGAGTTGGACTCACTCTTTCTCTCTCTCTCTCTCTCTCTCTCTCTCTCTCTCTCTCTCTCTCTCAACCCTGAGACACCACCCAGAATCCTTTCTGCCACCTTTTCCATTCTTGGAAGTCATTATTTCTGCTTTTGGGAGTCATATAGTCATATTCTCTTTTGCTAGCTCATGAGTTAAATACTGCAATATAAAGTTTGTTGCGATTATCACATCTCAAAATGAAAAAAAAAGAAAAACTCATAAATTTTATATATTTGGATGAAATTTATGTATATATTATCTTTGTATATTCTTAAAGCAAAGAAGAAATATCACAGATATAATTTTTGTTTTTGCAGCAGTTGGTTGTACTTGGTGACTGGTAATTATAACTTCCTTTCTAACATCATTTCTGTATTAACTTTACCCTCTGCAAACAGTTTTACTGGTGATAGGTCCTTGCCTGGTAGGATAATAAAATCTTCATTTTTTCAGATTCTGAGTCATTACAGTCCTGACTATATAGTCCTACATAGTTTCTCATTCACTATTGCCACAGAAAGCAGAAGTGCTAAGACATGTCCTAAGGTTCTTCTGCATTTTAATTATTTTCCTTCTTTTCCACTCTTACCCACCTCCATATAGTGAATAGTAGTCATTCTGTTTTCCTATGACAATCACCCTAAGCAACGGTAACTTTGCTCTTTCTTCACTGGTCCAAAGGAAAAAAAAAAAAAACGGTGAGATGGTTTCAATGTCCAGTTAGAAGTAAGATTGTTCCCTAAAAAAGAAAAATCTCCCTCACCTCAAACTCAGTGTCTCTAAACCTAAAGATTCAGGAATAGGAGCAAAACTCTGACCATTTCACCATTGGGATTAACAGTGGAATAAACCTCTCCCATTTTTTTTGTTTATTTTATTTGCTCTTTCTTTCTTCCTTCCTTCCTTCCTTCCTTCCTTCCTTCCTTCCTTCCTTCCTTCCTTCCTTCCTTCCTTCCTTCCTTTTGAATCACTGTGAGATAGTTACAAAGCTTTCACGATTGAGTTTCAGTCATGCAGTGATCAAACACCCAGCCCTCCACCAATGTACATTTTCCACTACCAAGGTCCCCAGTATCCCTCCTGCCATCCTATCGCACCCTACCCCTGCTATTATTGCAGACAATTTTCTTCTTTTTTTTTTCTTTTTGGGTCACACCCGGTGATGCACAGGGGTTTCTCCTGGCTCATGCACTCAGGAATTACTCCTGGCAAACTCCTTACCCACTGTGCTATTTCTCCAGCCCCGACAATTTTCTTCTTACTCTCTTTCTACTTTGAGGCATTATGGTTTTCAATACAAATACTGATCTCTCCTATTTTGATTTCTTGACCTCTGATCTATGCATCTTGACTATGGGTGAAACTATCACTGTTGCTGTCCTGTTGTTCATCGACTTACTCGGGCAGACCCAGTAATGGCTCCATTGTGAGACCTTGTTACTGTGTTTGGCATATCCAATACATCACGGGTAGCTTGCAGGCTTTGCGGTGTGGCCGAGATACTCTCGGTAGCTTGCCAGGATCTCCGAGAGGGGCGGAGGAGTCAAACTTGGGTTGGCTGGGTTGGCCACATGAAAGGCAAATGCCCTACCTACTGTGCTATTGCTCCAGCCCAGAATAAGAATGAATAAGTAAAGGCTCATTCCATGTCGATTTACTCTTTTGATGAGGTTGAGGCAGGAGGTGCCTAGGATATAGAGGATACATAGGATAAAGAGGATGGGGCATTCTAGAAATTGAGACTCTAGGATGAATGGCAAATCAGCTGACTAAAGGAGTTGGGATGGGGTATAAAAATATGCACGTGGAAGGATTTTCTTGCAGGCTTTCCAGGCAGCTCTCTCATCACCCACATTTGGTGCTCCCAAGCCGCTCTGTATGGACCAGATCGAGATGGCTGTTAGTGATGGGCAGACAAAGGAAGAATAAGGACCAAGCTGGTTGCTGATTAGTTACCATTTATTCAATCTCTCATCTCTCCCATTTCACACACTCCCCCTCTTTTTCACCCTTCATTCCTCACTCCTTCATTCCTAGCTCCCAGATCCCCAGGTGAAACTATACATTGGACAATTAGAGTATTTATTTTATCCCATTGAATTAACCTTTACTCTGAAAACTGTTACATTCAACTGATCCCTTTGAGTCTTCAGAAAACTACTTTGTTGTTTTATCAGGCCAACTGCCTCAGGATAATGATGAACAAGTCCAAAGAACTCCAAAGATATATTTCTAATGGCACACTTCATTTGCTGTGAAAATGAAATCCCTGGTCAGAGATGATGCTCCATGAAGCACAGTGGCAGTGAATAGGACATTCATTATGTAAGTCCACAGATGGTAGTTTTGGCAGAATTATTGAGAGAAGGAAGGCATTTTCATACTCAGAGTAAGTATCTATTTCCTTGAGAACCAGGCACTGGTTCTTCCATGATGGAATTGTCCCAATATCATCAACCTGCCAGCATGTGAATGAATGGTCCCTGGTGTACAGTGTCAGATAAGTTGCTCAGTATTGGTTTCTGCTATTGTTATACTGGTTACAGTGGCTATTAGAACAAATTTCCAGGTTATTTAACATTCCTTCTGTTGAAAGGCCTATTGTCCTTCCATCTCTACTCTGTGATGACCTTACTTACTTGCTTCTGATAAATAATAATAGTGCTGCATGATTTGTTGTGGCTAAATCTAAAATGACTGTCTCACTTTTATATACTTGTTATGAGATGCTTGCTCTTGAGAAATCAAGCTGTCATTGAAGAGATCCAACTCTTCAGGGACACTACA